ATGAAACAACGTAGCACATACGACAATCTTTCAACCTTCATTACCGACAAATACAAAAATCTGGCAGAAAATAAAATCAAACTCGTTATCTTGTTTGATATCTCAAACGCCAACGGTAATGTCAACATTAAAATATTGAGACAAATGACGATTAATAAAAAAATCCCAGCAATAATTACTCAAACAGTCACAAACCTTTTAGAAAAAAAGACTATACTTCAAGTGGATCGACAAACACTCGGCCCTCGAAATATACATACGGGAATACCGCAAGGGGCAGTTCTAAGTGTTATTTTATTCTCAATATATAGGCATCACTGAAGAAGCTTGCTACGAATAATATTAACATCTCTCAATTTGCGGACGTTACAACAGTACCAACCAGTGGCAAGAACTTACTAGAAGCATTTGCAGATATTACTCCCTTCCTCCAGGAATTTGAGAAATGGACCAACGAACTATAACTATCCGAACAAAAATGTGCAGCGATCATACTAACGCGACGTAGGTATATCGGACTGCAGGAAGTCCTGCAGATGGGTACATTTACCATACAAAACACAAATTCTTAGGTATAATTATAAAATAAAAAAATGTAATGGAAACACCACATAGAGTATTTTGAGAAAAAACAAAGAAAGCTCTGAATTTTTTTTAAGATATGTCTACAATCAAGTACGGAGCTCACCTAACCATAGCGTTGTTAGTATACCGCGCCCTCATCCTATCTCCTTTAGACTATGGCTACAAAAGTTATGACAGCGCAGCAAAATCCCACAGAAAAAATGTAGACAAAATACATATAGAGCTGTAAGCATCGGCTGAGGGGCATTTGCATGCACTATTGGTGGAAAGTAACTTGGAACCCCTTCATTTAAGGCGAGAACGATTGGCGGCTAAGTAGATAAATATATTAGCCGAGGCATGTATTATACTTAGTGGTAGGTTAGCCCTAGTTCATCAAGGAACTGGATTAGTAGGCCCGGTTTTAGTGGTGAATCTCTTCTACGGTTGCATTGTACCTCCCAAAGCATTTCCTTCTACTGGCATAGTGCAAAGGTTTGTTAGTAGGTGTGCTGGTGCTTCCTCTGCTTCATTGCAGAATCAGCACGTGCCTTGTTGGGTTATCTTCTTCAGATGTCCATTTCGTTTGCATTGTCCTGTTAAGAATCCTGTTAGGATTCGCAGTTTTTCTGCTTCCTTTCATGTATTCTGTTACCTCTTTCCTTCCAATGTTTGTTAGGAGATTCTTGGATTGTTTGTGTCCAATGAGTGAGTTCCATTGTTCCTTCATTTTCTTTTTACCCCTGTGTCGAAGGTGCTCATTGATAGTGTGGATTCCTATGCCGCTGAAGGGTTTGGGTCCTATCAGCGGTATAGCAGCCCATCTTCTTGCAAGGATGTCCGCTCTCTCGTTGCCTTCTACTATCACATGTCCTGGGACCCAGGAGGGGCTGACTTTGTTCTGCGTACCTAATGTGTTTAGTTTGGTTTTGCACTTCAGCACCATCTTTGAGCTATTGATGTTTGAACTTACGCTTTGATGGATGCTTGGCTATCTGACATGATAGCTATATTCTTGTTTTTGTACCCTTTATTTAGACTGAATTAAGTACATCTCTCGACTGCAGCTTGGAAGATACTAGTGTATTTTCCCAAGGGTTCTGAGTATTTGCTTCCGAATACTCCTGCCCCCGGACCGTGCGATCTAGATCCGTCTGTGTACCAGTAGCTGGTGCCATTCTTAAAGGAGGGTCATATCGTACTCCGGCGAAGTAATATTTCCTCAGCTCTTCAGTACTAAATGTGGGGGTGTCCATTTTTGTATTTAAAATTTTCGCCCCTGCGAGATTGGAAAAATTCTCGTTTATGTTTGGTGGGGCCAATCAAAAAGTCTTCTACGTAGGTCCATATGTCGGACGCCACAATGGATTCCTTTAAATTTTCTAATTTTGTTCCACACCCAACTTACGTTTGATTCTATGTTGAATGAATTTCGGAATAAAGCCCAGATTTCTATTTTCTTTTCCTTAAATAATTTCCTCCATTCTGCAACCGACTGCACTTAATCCTACTTCCGTAAAGTTTAATAAACTGGGGTGTTTCTTATATTCTTGAAATTATTTTTGTTTCTTATCTCATCTTTTCTCACAATTTTCATCCCACCATTTTGCCCAGTTTGGATACCTTTTGATGGGCAGACAAGTTATTCCGAGTTCGGAGACTGCTGACCTGAACTGCACCATTTATAATATTAAGCAGTTGTTTATAGTTGCTGAGGCTCAGGTCCGTATTGCATTCCCAATTTCTTTGGCATATCCTTTCCAATCAGCTTTTTTGATCAATCGACTTATTGACTTAACCCTATAGGCTTCACCTGGTCGGTTGAGTCATAGATCATTACAATAGCTAGGTCCGAAGTTTTCCAGGTGAAACGTGTTGATACCCAAGCAAGGGAATATCAGATACCCAAGCAAGGGAATATCAGGCGCTAAGGGGTTCTCCGTAGCCTTGGCATAAGTGTTGGTGACCCAACGTTTAGAAAACACAGTTCAAATTGACCTCAATATCAATATTGACCCCAATATTGATAATGGATATTAAAATTTCCGCCTACTATCATGGGATGGAAAAATTGACCTATGAATTCAGTCCAGATGTTGGATAATTTAAAACTAGGCTTTATATACACCAATACTATTGTTACTGTTTTAGGGAGTAACTCGAATCTTATAGAAGTCATCTGGGTTTAATCGCTGTGGTTGTTCGTAACATTTAGAAAGGTATACCGTCATTTGTGAATCATGATCAAACCACCGCCAAATCTATCTTCTCTTTTGTCATGTATAAGATCATAATGGGCTTCTTTAATAGAATGATTTAAAGTGCGCCATGTTTCAAAGAGGAGGGCTACATCTGTCCTTTTCTCTCGTAAACTCACACCTAGCAAATTCCTATTAAATAAATGAGCGCATGTTCCACTGCATGATTGTAACAGGATCAACCGTGTGCAGCTTTTCGCGTTATTAAAATTTTATGTATGGTATAATTGGGTTGTAGTTACTTAACGTTTTACTTTTTAAGTGTGGATGTAAGAAGAAAACTTTGAGTTCTGTTGTTTATGTTTTGTATGTTTTGGCATTTTTGTTAGTTCCAATTTTGTTTGTACTAATTTGTATTATCATCTTTAGAGTTTAACTTTTTATCGTTTTACACACACACACACACACACGCACGCACGCACGCACGCACGCACGCACGCACGCACCCACACACACACACACACACACACACACACACACACACACACACACACACACACACACACACACACACACACACACACACACACACACACACANATATTTTATAATATAAATATTTTGCATGTTTTGGCATTTTTGTTAGTTCCAATTTTGTTTGTAATAATTTGTAGAATCATCTTTAGAGTTTCACTTTTTATCGTTTTACATATACATATACACATACACGCGTGCACACACATACATACACCTACACATAGATATACGTTCATATATATGTAGCTTTTCTGTTATTAACATTTTCTGTGCGGTTTAATTTTTAATGGTAATTTAACGTTTTACTTTTTAAATGTACAGAATTAGGCCTACTTTATCTATAATTTCTTTTTTCTTTTATGTTTTTTTTTTTATAAATTTGTCACTAGAGTGATATATTTTTCCGCCTTAGTGGTGGCCCTGGGATTTTCCATATTTCGTTTTGACTTTGTTGGGGTACGGAAAAGTGCGACTACAGTCGACCTCCGTCCGTACTTCGTTCGGTTTTAGTTTTGAGGCGAGAAGTTCTGATTAAAATTTTCCTATATTGCCTTTGTTTATTCACTGATTGTGAGCAGTGGAAAATTCATTTCATCCAGATTAAGTTTTGAATTGGGCGTGTCATATTGTTGTATGACACTGTTGACAAGACTGTTCTTCGAACAGTGGACAGGCTGGGTTTGAATACGGAATAGGACAAGCTTTCAGTAAGTGGTTGCACATTGTAAGCACCGTTGTTTTCCTCGACATTGGGTTGCCGCCCCATTATGTCGTAAACAATTATTCGTCTAAACAAGGGGAGGTATGGACGAACTGGGCAAAAACTTCCGAATATTGTGACAGCTTCTGAAATCTTTTACCCACGAAATGTTATTAAACGATTTTTATCCTGTTGTGAGGATGTTGAGTTTTATTCGTGCCGGTTACGCGTATTTCAAGAATGTAGTTATTGTTTAAGCGTTTGATCTTGAAAATTTACCAAATAACAGCGGGTGGGCATTGCCTGTATTTGTGTCATGACTTTTCACAAATACAAAAAAATGGGCCTAGATCCGTCTATCAAATTTATTTTGGCCTAATCTTTGTTTAGTTTATAACGACATTGGTCTTTTTCCGCCGTTATATCAGATTTGACCTTGATTATCGTCTTGGCACACGATGTATTTTAACTTCCACTACCATTTTTAGAATTGGACATCCATACTGGATCGTGTATCATCACTTTCTGAAACTTTTTTAGCGTACTGACATACGGAGAGTCGGTCTGGCTGTAGATTTTTTATAGTTCGATGTAAGTGGACGTTTTCCTGTGGCAAAGTGCCCTCGATATGTGTACACCGATAATTGACCGGTTTTAATTGTTAATCTACTAATTTGCAAATTTATAAAGGAATAATTTTTCCCTATTGCAGTTGTACAATGCAAAGAATTAATACTCTCCTTATCGCCGATTTGTGTACGCCCTCTAATCCTGAGGAGAAACTTAACACGTCCTTCCTGATCGAGATCTCAACAAACAACATTGAAAAGTCAACAAACCACCCTCAAGTCATACATCAAATGGTACAGAAAGGTTCGTTTTAAACGCAGAAACTCGCCGAGTATGAGGAAATGAAAGAAGCCGAAGGCATTTGGAGATAATAGACGGACGCGTCTAATCTCACAGACACACCACGACACCTTCTATATATTATCTGCCAATAATTCGATATACCATTTCATTTCAGAAAGCACACCGCTAACATGGCGTACGGTGCTAAGAGTAGCTTGCTGCTCTGCCTTTTCATTTCAGGCCTGTGGGCTCCTCCGGTGAGTAAACGGCTTTTTGTCACAGTTTACTTTTATTTAAATTAACTTGTATAATGTCTAATTTTAGTTCTTGTGTGGTAAAATATGTAGAATTTGACAATTCAGAAATACGGACTTTTTACGTCTTATAACAAATGTTTTGTTATTAAAAAATGGGTTTGGTGTATAAATCCCGGAAAATTTAGTTCCTATGCTGACCTTTATAACTAATTAAACAAATACACACAACTTTCCAGAAATAAAAAAATTGTTAATATATAAAAAACCATTAACAAATAAATATAAAAAGCGAAATTTTAATATTTATATCCGAGGTTTTTTTATAATAAAATTAATAATAAAGAAAACATAGTGGCTCAATATTGTATGATAAAATGGAGCATAAGCGTCATGTAAAATCGTATTAACATAATAGCAGAAATTCAGGTCAGTTATCGCAATGAAAAACAATTCGAGTTTGAAATATGACTCACCTGTTATATCTGTTGAAAAAAAAATCAATAAGGTTTCAATATTGCCCATAAAAATAATGGCTTAAAAATTGGATTTCAGACAGGAGTACATGCAACCTCAGATGAAGAATCGCTCATGGCAACTACGACAAGTGAAAATGCGCCTGTTTGCAAATGTGCTGAAGATCCAAATGCTTATATATGTGTACCTACGGACGGTGCGGTCCACTTTAATCTGGACGATGTAAACAATGAATCTGCACCTGCGGATAGTCAAGAAGAAGACGATGTCCATGACTTGTACTCACTCGTCCAGAGCTTGTATGACATGTTCCTAAACGCGAAATGCGACAAAAACGATGCGAACGGTACGGGAGGAACTACAAATGGCGATCACCAAGGAGGACATGGCGACCACCCTCACCACGGAGGACATGACGACGACCACCCTCACCACGGAGGACATGACGACGACCACCCACACCCAGGTGGACATGAGGACCACCCTCACCACGGAGAACATGGCGACCACCCACACCCAGATGGACATAGCGACCACCCTCAACACGGAGGACATGACGACGACCACCCACACCCAGGTGGACATGAGGACCACCCTCATCACGGAGGACATGGCGACCACCCACACCCAGGTGGACATGGCGACCACCCTCAACACGGAGGACATGACGACGACCACCCACACCCAGGTGGACATGGCGGCCACCCTAACCAAGGAGGAGATGGCGGCCACCCTAACCAAGGAGGACATGACAGCCACCCCAACCACGCAGGAAATGGCGACCACCCTCACCCAGGTGGACATGGCGACCACCCTCACCACGGAGGACAGGACGACCACCCTCACCAAGGAGGACATGACGACGACCACCCACACCCAGGTGGACATGAGGACCACCCTCACCCAGGTGGACATGGCGACCACCCACATCCAGGTGGACATGGCGATCGCCCTAACCAAGGAGGAGATGGCGATCGCCCTCACCAAGGAGGGCACGGCGGCCACCCCAACCAAGGAGGAGACGGAGGCCACCCTCAGCAAGGAGGACATGGAGGCCACCCAAACCAGGGAGGACATGGCGAACACCCTCAGCAAGGAGGACATGGCGGCCTCCCAAACCAGGGAGGACATGGCGACGACCCTCACCCAGGAGGACATGGCGACCAACCTCATCAAGGAGGTCATGGCGATCACCCACACCATGGAGGACATGGCGACGACCCTCACCCAGGAGGACATGGCGACCAACCTCACCAAGGAGGAGATGGCGACCACCCTCACCCAGGAGGACATGGCGACCAACCTCACCAAGGAGGACATGGCGACCACCCTCACCACGGAGGACATGGCGACCACCCTCACCACGGAGGACATGATGACCACCCTCAGCAAGGAGGACAAGGCGGCCACCCTCACGAAGGAGGACATGGCGGCCAACCCGACCACGGAGGACATGACGACCACCCTAACCAAGGAGGGCATGGCAACCACCCTAACCAAGGAGGAGATGGCGATCACCCTCTCCACGGAGGACATGACGACCACCCCAACCATGGAGGACATGGCGACCACCCTCACCCAGGAGGACATGGCGGCCACCCTAACCAAGGAGGACATGGCAACCACCCTAACCAAGGAGGAGATGGCGATCACCCCAACCATGGAGGACATGGCGACCAACCTCACCCAGGAGGACATGGTCGAAATGTAACGAATCCCAACGATGAACATGATGAAAAACATAGAAACTCGGGGAGCGGCCTCGATCCCGACCTTGAACAACCTAACAACCGACCTCACCACAGGCATCCCAACGACCAACATCCTAACACCCCAGCAGGAAATGGCACAAACCCCAATGGGCAAAACTGCTCTTGCTACAATAACGGAAATGCTGGACCAAGAAGATCCCGTCCGCTTTGCGTGAACAATTGCGAAACCACTCTCGTTTACGACATGAACGGTACAAATCCCCAGGTAGCCGGACTCAAATGCTGCGGTGATCAGTTTTCTCTTGAAGAAGTGAAATCTTTGTGCCCAATTTTGTCAATAGCTAAACGGCTGTGGTCTACATTCCCTCATCAATACCAGACCGTTACGACTGAATAGCAGTTGACGTAATTTCTGTATTTAAAATGCTTTGCAAATTAAAACATAGTAACTAAAATGAATTTTTTGTTTCTTCATACCCGATTGAAGCCTTTTTTTAAGCCAATACTGTTATTCATTTCATCTATGAAGCGAACAATCGTCTTTTTGTTCTTTTTAATAAAGAAACGAGAAATGCGCAGGACGATGAACCTGCAGAATTGGTAAGAAGAGTTGTTCCAAGAAACTTCTGACTTACTGAAGAACGATTCCTTGAATAAATACAACATTCGTGTTGAACGACACAGGTAACTGGGTCTGTTTCCACTCACTGTAATAAGTGTGACGGTTGAACATTGCTCAATGTTCACGACTCGCAGACCAAAACCCATCATCAACTTTCAATAGCACATTACAAAATTACATTCTGAGCAAAATTCCCGTACAGCTTTCACCAACTGTGTCTTGGCACTACAAAAGTTTTCTAAGCTAGTTCCAAGCACAAATAAAAGCTGCTCGCTCAATATTTTCTATGTCATATTCTGGACAAAAGCCTCCATAGCTTTCACCGACTGTATCTTACTCCAAAGGTTCTCTGAGTTTTGTACCAGCTAAAAAAAAGCTTCACAACCAACTATTGTTAGTTTTATATTGTAGACTAAATCCTTCACACCTTTCACCACCTTATATCCCGAAAAGTTCTCTAAGCTTTTTAATAGTCAAAAAGAAAGCTGCTTACCCCACAGTTTCTATATTATTTTCTGTGCAGCATCCCTCATAGCTTTCACCAAGTCTGTCTTAGAACTCTAACAGCTTTATTTATTTTTAATATATTAGCATGGCACCAGTGAAAATGAAAGCTACTTCAGATCATATTGTGCTACAACCCTTATCGCATGTAAAGGTAATTTTCTTCGTATTCTTCTTAACTTTCTTATTCGCTTGACTTCTTAAAGCTTTTGATGAGCGTGCAAAAGCACATACAATCTCAGATTTTCAGCTAATCACACATGACCGAATGAATCTTTTACTTATTGAAACATTTTATTGAGCTGAGCCGTTGTTAATAAAAGATTGAGTGCCAGGAAGGATCGAAAACCTCACTGTACAGTCTATACACCTCCTTTTTCACGCTGATTTTCATTTTTCTCCCCCCTCCAGTGTTAAAGTAGGCATCAAAAATTAAAAACCTACTTATTGGCTTAATATATTTCTAAATTAATTAATATTTCGCCACTCATGAGACACTATCAGAACAACATCAAGGGAAGTTGAAAAAAAACTGAAGGAAAAATGGAAAACTGGACGAAAAACTGATGTTGGCAAAATCATATTTAGAAAGTTTAAATTCGTTCTCAGGTAGCTGCAGAAATTGAGATCAGTAGTATTTTCTTTGCCAGTCCAATTTTGTCTCAGTTATCCGTCTAATGTCTATAAATTACGTTCCGTTTCAGTTTTTGGATTTCAACTCACTTTACCGGAACAAAACCATTATTAACCATTACTTTCCTTTTTTTTATAGCGGAAGTAGTCCAATAGTCCGACCCACACAGATATGTCAAAATGTTAGATATTGGCTGAGTACGCGTTGGATCGACCAAATCTTAATCCTTCTTTTCCACGATATTTATCCGCCCGCTGTGCAGGTCGACGTGCCACAGATAAACCACGAAAATAATAAGCAATCCATAAATAATAATAATAACTTCCTACTGGAAAAACGATTGGGCGTTTTGGCTTGTCAAAATCAATAACTGCCATCTAGACACCACACGAATCATGCAATCGACTCGTTTTTCTTTTATTTACATTTCATCCTACCACCGGGTATTATCAATTAGACATGTAAATATTTGAGGAAAAAGGGTTATCTTAAATAATCTTGTAAGTTTCTATTGCTATTTATAAGAAAAAACTACAATCGTTTCTTCTCAGAATGAAACTATTCCAATGAGATGCTGAGCTTTATAATATATCAAACGTGTCCATTTATGAAGCTACTTAAGGGCTTGAAAGCCCCTAAATTCTGTTATGCGACGAAACTATAAAAAAGTACAGACAATTTGACCCAAGATTTTATAAATGACCACGAAACAATAAAAGAAGGTAGTAAGAACAGGGTCAAACTTAGGGTTTTAAAGGGCATAACCACCGTTTTTCTGGCCAAATTGTCAAATTATTTTGTCAAATTAAACTACAACCTTTTTCTATAAACAAAAACTATTACAAGGAGATACCGAGATTTAGAAGTGCTTAAATTTATTTTTTTCAATAGTTACTTTTCAGTTTCTCAAATTCTTAATTTTTGGGTTTTCCTGTACTTTATCAATCGTGTCCTTTCATAAAGCTATTGTATGGTTTTAAAGCCTCCAAATTCTTTCAGGCGACTAAATTACAAAAAACAGGGACAATTTGACACAAGATTTTCTAACTGACCACAAAACAATAAAAGAATAATGACGTTTTTCTGGCCAAAAAAATCAATTTATTTTTTCAAATTAAACTACAACCGTTTTTTTGTCAAATAAAAAACTTCCGAGGGGATTCTGACTTTTACAATAGAAGTGTATGAATTTATTTTTTTTTCAGAAGTTAGTTTCAGCTTCTTCAATTTTCATTTGTGGGTTTTCCCGTGACTTTATCAATCGTGTCCTTTCGTAAAGCTGCTTTATAGCTTTAAAGCACCTAAATACTGTCAGAGGACAAAACTACAAAAAAGCAGACACAATTTGACACAAGATTTTATAACTGACCACGAAACAATAAAAGAAGGTAGGAAGTCCATGGTGATAGTAAAAGGCCAAACCGAGGTTTTAAAGAGAATAATGACCGTTTTTCTAACCAAATTAGTGAATTAATTTTTTCAAATTAAACTACAACATTTTTCTACAAATAAAAACTATTCCTAGAAGATTCCGAGATTTAAAAGTGTTTGAAATATTTTTTTTGCAAAAGTTAGTTTTCAGCTTCTCCAAATCGTCATTTGTGGGTTTCCTGTGACTTTATCAATCGTGTCTTTTTATAAAGCTACTTTATGGCTTTAAAGCACCTAAATACTGTCAGACGACAAAACTACAAAAAAGTGCAGACAATCTGACACAAGATTTTATAACTGACCACGAAACAATAAAAGAAGGTAGGATGACCAGGGTGATAGCAAAAGGCCAAACCGAAGGTTTTAAAGGGAATAACGACAGTGTTTCTTACCAAAATAATTAATTTATTTTTTCAAATTAAACTACAACCGTCTTTTGTCAAATAAAAAACTATTCCAAGAAGACTCAGCTTTAGAAGGACTTCAAGTTTTTTTTTTTTCAAAATTTACTTTTCAGCTTCTACAATCCTTCATTTGTGGGTTTCCCTGTGACTGCATCAATCGTGTCTTTTTATAAAGCTGCTTTATGGCTTTAAAGCACCTAAATACTGTCAGACGACGAAACTACAAAAAAGTACAGACAATCTGACACAAGATTTTATAACTGACCACGAAACAATAAAAGAAAGTAAGAAGACTAGGGTGGTAGTAAAAGGTTTTAAAGGGAATAACAATCGTTTTCTAGCCAAAACATTTATTTAATTTTTTTATTTGTTATAATAAAACCGTACTTGCAAATGATGAATCTGTACTAATGAGGTTCCGCACTTTGGAAGTGCTTGTAATATGTTTTAAAAAGTTACTTTTCAGCATCTTCCCTTCTTCAGTGGTAGGTTTGACTGTTGTTTTAATCAATTGTGTTCTTTTGTAAAATTTTTTAAGGCTTTGAAATTCGGTCTGGAGATCAAACTATCAAACACACAGACAATTTGGTAGAAGATTTTGTAAGTGATAAAAAAAAATTTAAGCATTTTGTCACAACTTTACGTTATTGCCAAAAATGATCAATTCAGTATTTTCAAAAAAAACCCCCCTAAGTAAAAATTCGTACTATGATGCAAAACATATAACAAAAAACCACACAAATTTTAAAAAATGGCGTACAAAAAAAACGGTAACTCGTTGGCCTTTCTTTGATCAACTAAATGACCTTGGAAAATTGCCCAACTAGGGTAAAATTTTGTAATTTGACGATTAATCGGAAAATAAAGACTTTTCTGAAATTGAATTGAAATGGCAATCCATTGGGCAGAAGTGGAGTTAAAAACAAAAAATAAAAAACCAGCCGTTCGTACAAAATACGGTCGGTACTACCTTAAAAACCTGATTTGTAGTTTTGATTGGTGAATGTTTTGGTCTGCGAGTCGAAGGCATGTTGAACCGATGGAAACTTTCGTGGATTTAATACCTCACTGAAGATGGCGTGAACAGCCGTTAGATTGAAACCGTAACCCGCGAGTGTGAACAGACCAAGTAGATTGGTCAATTGACCAGTTTAACATGAATATTTGATACCTAAAACATATTCTCTGAGAGGAGGATCTCGGGCAGGGTGTCGAGGTCTAACTAGACTAATGTCCAGAAAATCTATAATTGGGTATTTAAACGATGTTGAACTCCCATGACGACTTAAAAGGGGACGACAATGTTGGTGGGTCACGGATTTGAACTATACTTTTTTTGTCATTCTACACTCCAAAATATCGGATACGTATTAGTTACTTCTTGTGAATAGGACGTGGTTCGCCATTTAAAAAAAAAAAATTTTATTTATTTTTTTTGTTTTTTTAAGTTGAATTTTCTGCTATTTGATAACTTTGTTTCGTCGTTCTACTTGCTCAAATCAACTATGTGAATATATCATTTTTACAGCATTTTTTACATAAATTGCAATAAAATTATAGTAAAGTTTATCAGTAACCAAAAAATTCCAAAAACCAAATGTTTTTAACTAAACTAGGTCAACAAAAAATTTTTGGTGAAAATAATATGAAATTTCTTTTTAGAACCTATAGAGCCCCGTAAATACAAATTTTGAACTCTGGATCAATGTATGGTCTTGAATATCTACAGATTGACATATTTAAGTTTGTTTTTTACATCTCAAATGACTGTGACATTTCTTGGCAATGTTGGGACTGAATCAAGGAAATTTCAGATCGCCTGTAACAACTTAAATATGTCAATCTGTAGAAATATTTAAGGTTA